TTTTACGGCCTGTCCCTTGGGGAGAGCTTTCTGCCACCTATTGGTGACATACAGCATCCATCTCATCCATGACACATGGTAAATTTCTGTGCAGTCTGCTCTGACATTTTATCCAAACACAAGAAAAATGCTGTGTGTACATTTCTCATTTTTATATAACCTTTTATATTGTGCAGCACATTACAGAGAGCACTGAAACATTCAAATCAGTTCTTGCCTCCAAAAGAGTTTACAAGCTGATATCCTTGCTGCACTCAAACAAAACCCGAAATGTGCTCATTGAAAACTGAAGCCAATTAACCGATCAGTATGATTTAAAATGGAAGGGCGGGGCGGCACATCCCTTCAATGCTTCTGGAAGGTTCTTTTGATGTAATCGTCCCTGATGTGTAACCTATCCTTAACCTGAACCCTTATCATGATCAAACACAAAGGAGGTTATTCACTTAGCTGCCGACGGCAGCCGAGTGAATAACCGAGCCGAAGTGAAGTGAGCCGAACGCAGTTCGGCTATTCACTTCTGCCTGGTACATCGGCTAAAATCAGCCGTACATTGGCTGCCTTCGGTCAGCAGGACTTGCTCATCACTGCTGAGGCATTGAGATTGATGTCCTCAGTGGTTTTTTTATTTTTTTTTATTGGACAGCTTGGGCCAATGGCGCTTTGCCATTGATCCAAACCGTTCATAGAGCCAAGAGTAGAGGCTGTTGCAGCTCTTGCCTCACTAGTTAGGTTACACAGTGGGGAAGCCGGGGGAAACTGTCAAAGCTGGATGCAGCGCTGCCTGTAATTAACAGGCAGCGATCCGTCCATGACAGGTTATACAGTGGGGAGGCTTTCCCTGCTGTGTAACCTGATAGAAGCCGATCTGAATGGAGAAAAAGCTGTCAGCTTCAGACTGAAAGCTGACAGCCTTTTCCTCCATAAAACTAGGTGAGACTCTGCCTCACCTGCCTCCCCTGAACGCACGTCCCTGATAAACAAACTATTTTACCAAAATATTTAAAAAAATAAGGCTTACCTTGGCCTATGATGCTTCCAGGAAGTGTAGGTAACGTCAATATGCCAGAGCTGGGAGCCTAAATCCCCGGAGCATGACTTTGCAGTGGGCTGGAAGCATTTTCACAGGATTCATTTTGAATTGAGTGGGGAAGGATTAAAACCCCTATCAGTTTATTTTTACTATTTGTGTCCCGCTGGCAGGGAATCCTTATTCACTTCTTGTCCTGGAGATGCAATAGGAAATGAGAGGAAATCTCACCAAATGAGGGGAATTCCCGTGTCACCTGAACCTTTTTTTCCCCATTGGATGTTTTAACCTTACCTCTTCTTCAGTTGACAACTCTAAAATTTTGGCTTTCCCTCACTTTCTGTCTCAATGACAATGGTCACCTGGAGAAATAGAAATGGGTGTATCTTCTCAGTGGGGACTCAGACAGCAATAAAAACTTGACATAGCGTTTAACTCTTCCGCAGTCTTTCCAAAACTCAAAATGTTTTGCCTCAACATACTTTGTAACTTAACCCTTACATGTAATCTGTCATGAGTAAAACATTAATGCTGATACTGATGACTACTGAAAATGCTAGATGCCTGGCTGTCATGCAGGCTTTACTGCTTCATTAGTTTGTGTCACTGATCCAAACAAAATATTTCAAAGAGAACTATGGGGCAAGCGTTTTCCCCCATAGTTCTCTTCAGGGTCACGGGAGGACATATACTCAAAGCTCAGTATATCGTGAGCTACAGCTCGCAGTATACTGAGACCGCCGCAGCCGGGACGGATCCTGACAATGCTGTCGAGATCCACTCAGCTGCGTGAGTGACAGCTGGCTCTGCCTATCTGCCTCGGCCCCCTCCCCCGTCCGTTCCTCCAGTCAGCGCTAGAGGATCGGATCGAGGAGGAATCCCTGCGGTTGGCGGTGACTGACAGTCAACGCTCTCTGCAGGGAGATGATCGAGAAGTGAGCAAGCAACGGTATGCGTTCACTCACTTCCCGATCTATTGAGCCGACGTGTGACAGTTTCATTGTCACACGTCGGCTCGAACTATGAGGATGAGTGGTTTTCACTCACCTCATAGTTCTCCTTAAAGGCAGTGGAACAGGCAACTAGCATATTTAGAAAGAAATCAGCAATGGCAGTCCCCATACTTCTCTCAGGAAAGGTTTAATATAACCCTTAACCTTAAGGGCCTGTTCACATATAATCAGGTCCCGATCAGGTGCGGATCTGCAGACTGATGCAGTGCGTTTTTGCCATGTTTTTGCCGCGTTTTGGTCGCGTTTTTGATGCGTTCCAGTAAAAAAAAAAAGTGGAGTGTGGCTGTTAGTATGTTAGCTGCAGTGCAGTGCGTTTTTGATGCGTTTTGGACGCGTTTGCATTTCCTGACCGTACAAAATGTGACATGCAGTATTTTTCTGTCGTAACCTGAACGGACTGCGCACGTGAGAACTGTAGCCCATAAAACACATAGGGATACATTGGGATGCATTTTGAGTGCAGCAGCGTACGGAGCCGGTCAGCACACAAAACGGACGTCGTGTGAACAGGCCCTACCACTTAAAGTAAACCTGTCATGACAGAACTATGGAGGCTGCCGTTGATGATCTTCTGCTGACTTTAATACCCTATATGCCCCAGATCAGTTAACTGTACATAAATACAAAACATTCTATTTAGTATTGGATAGTGGTGTGTTTGTGGGGCGCTCTGTCATACAAGACATACAACTGATTTCAACAATCATGTGATTCATGAATAAGATCCACAATGAATGAAACAGTGAAGAAACAAATGAATGGAAAATTGTACACCATGTAATTTGTCAAACTTGTGTCACCAAGTATGATGAGGATGACGACCAAGTGGATGCCAACATTATTTTTGTAGACTATAGTATTGTTTACAGAACCAATGTGCATTTCAACTGTACCCACAATGCCCTCAGCTCACAGGACAAGCTGCATCCCCTTTAACATTGGCTTCCAGATGTATTTATTTAATGGCTTTGTTATCTTTCATTCTATTTTTGATACTATGTTACTGGACTATCCTATGCTTGTAACGGGAGCTGCTGGGATTGGGATGTTTTTGGTTCTGTAAATGTTTACATTTGTAAAAACGCAATCAAAAATACTTTGATGAAAGCTACAGGCCTTTGAGTCAGAAGTGACAATGATAACAGCCATGCAACTTTTTTTAATCCCACTGTAGTGCAAGCAGGCACAGCCTACATGAGAGCGACAACACTGCTCTGAAAGTAAGAGCAGTGCAGCATCATTGCTATGCCCTCAAAGGGAACTGAATTAGGTGGACTTCACTGATAAGATCAGGTGTTTGTGGGGACTATGCAGGGGTCTAAGAGAAAACCGTACAGTTAAATTTTAAAGGGAGACCTACTTTAATATATTAGCTGACAAAAAATATATTATTGTAACAAAAGTTAAATCATGTTTCCCAGAGTTTAAATATCTTTAGTCTTAAAGTGACATTAAAGGATCATCCCCTGCCCCCGCCCATGTTAGTATAAGGACTTACCTTAAATAATGCCTTTTGATCCGATCATCTTCTTCTTTACTCTAGTTTTCAGCAGTCCCTCCAGCGCTGCTGCGGGTCTCCGGTCCAGTGCTGACTCCTCTGTGCTAGCTGGCACTTCCGGGTGCACGCTGCTTCATAGACTTACCTTGTGTCTCTCCTCGTCTCCCGGCTGAAGATCTGAACTGCGCATCCGCCCGCTTCAAGATCCTTTGCGGGTGCCCGAGACTCTTATGTTCCGGCCGGAGCGTATGCAAATACACAGGTAAGTGCTAACCTGCTTGAAAAGTTTTTGGGTTATTTTTTTGCACATATCTACTGCTTGCTAGCAGTAGATATATGCGCAAATCGCTGAGGGTTTAATAACCCTTTAAGAATTATAACAAGGACACTGTTTCAGTCAGACAGCTCCTTGCTTATTTGCACCTAACATCCTCTTGTTAAAATGAGTGTAATCCCCAAATCTTGGAGATCTTGCCAGCAACAGCATTTCTTGTTGCAGGTTGACAATGCTAATCACTGCCACGCAAGTAGCAGCAGGGTTGCTAACCTGCTGTTGCGAGCGTCTTCAGTTGGTTGTCAGGCTGCATATCAGGTCTGTGCATGTAGGCAGCCCAACAGCCAACTGAAAACACACACTTAGCAGGCTGACAACGCTACTACTAATTGCGACTAGTGATGAGCAGGGGCCTTTTTCACAAAACTGCGGCCTGAGCTTTCCCCACCCTGCAGCTAAATGTCACACAGGAGAGAGAAATGCCCCTATTGCAACTGATTGGGATGGGGAAGGGGGGCTGCTAGTGACATTTTTGCACAGGCTTGGGCAAAATCAGGTGAACTGTGTGTGCACAACGCCCCCCGCACATCCTTAGAATCATCAGAAGGATCTGAAACATGTAAAGGTGGCTACCAACAGCCAAAGCTCCCAGATGAACAGGAAAGTTGGTCAGAATTTATTGTAAGAATATCTTTTTGTTGGAGTATTCAAAACCTATAAGAAGCCAGGGGCTTCCTCAGCCCACCAAACTTAAACCCATAGCTAAAATAGCACTTTTGAACAGGCTGACCTTTTAAGCCTGGTCAGGCAGTTTGATCTTTCTTTACATGTACAGTATAACCAACTTAATCATCCTATATGCATGCTAAGCCAAGATGAGCAGCTGCCCAGCTGCCTTCTTACAGTTGTCATGTTGCTGTCATTAATCAGGAACACCAGCACGACCTGCTTGGCAGACTTCTGGCATGGGATGGACCAGCACAAAAGCTGCATTTTATATATTGGAACAGAGTGCTCCAAAAAGGGACATGCTATGAGCTGTTTTGTCAGCCCTCCACTGGAGCAGAGAGACCTAAGGAGTGTATGCTGCAGGGAAAACATTGCAAGGAAACTAGATTACACACACTAATATGCAAAGTAGTTCAGATACATTTGGCGGTAAAAGGGTTACTTCCCACCCACTGCCACACTCCTCCACCCTTTTGCTTCCAGCTACAGTTCTCTTCCTTTTTCTCAATCCATATGGTCAGTGTTCCACTTACAAAGTAAGTATGCAGCTGCATTTTTTTCCTCTCTTTAAAAGGCATTTCCTTCATTTGGTGCTTTTACAGGAATTTATATACAAAGATGCACAGCGGAGGTTTTGGTCTCTGAAAAAAGTCAAGGTGATGACGTTTTTAAACTTTATCAGCAACATACATTTGGCTACCAATAGCCATGCGCTCAGAGATTCAGGACTACTTATCTTGAATATGTTATGTGTGCTTAATTAAATATTATGGATTTGTTGCATAATATTTAATTTGCTCCATTAATTTGCTGTCTGTGTGTTACATATATAGTGATCATTGCATGCATTATCTCTCTGTAAGTATATTTCCTGCATATTGGATATATTTAATAACACTGTGCAAAGAATAGTAATGTGTGGGCAGGCTGATGGGAATTGAATACTGATTGGATGCAATAGTACAGTGTTATTGAATTAATGTGTGGGTAATCCGTAAGCTAGGTAGCTGATGTGAGAGGCATATTCCTGAATACATGTGCATTGTTGATGTGGTTTATATCCTGTCTGATAACTTTATTAGTTTGAAAGAAGATAATGAGAGCGCTATAACTGTAAAACATTTTACAAGACTGTTACTCGCTTATAATTTAACATTTACCTGAATGTTTATGTTATTTAGAAACCTGTTGACCTGATGGAGCAGATGGAAGAATAATGTAGATATGTTTTGCAATATCTACCCGTATACACACTATAATATACTGTCATGCTATTTGCTGCTACCATGGTTAAAAAAGAACTATGGTCAAAACATTTGTTAAAAACTTGTATTGCAAGGGTTAACTGCTTTTTTTTGGTCTAGGGAGGAAAATAACAAAGTTATACTCACCTGATCCTCAAAGCCGGCTGGCTGAGACAGTGCTCCCTCCAGCCTGAATCCTCCTATACTGCAGAGATGGTATGTCCCTTAGCATTCTCACATCCTATACACAGTGTATTGGATGTGATGACTCAAGGATCCTTACACCGATGCAATGGAGTGGGGCTGTAAGGAGGTTTGAGTGAGTATAACTTTTTTTATTTTAGCACCAAAACAAAAAAGAGCAGTTAACCCTTGTGTGAGTGTAGCCCCACTGCAAGGGTTGATAAAAGTTTTGTCCAGAGTTCTTCTTTAAAGGATATCTTAACTCAAAAACAAAAATGAAATGTATTGCAGCTTACCAGCCCTTAGATGTGGTGGTTGCATTAGTTTTCATTTCTCAGGCACAAGAACATTTTCAGCAAGTACAGAAAATACCTGTTGCTTGCCTGTTGTTTTTGCCAGAAATGCAGTGCCCTTGTACCTTCTTGTAAGATGAACTAGAAAGCTGGCCCATATATGCTTAGATTTCTTCCGTTTAGCCTATGGGCTCCATGAAAGAATTCTAACAGATTCCTCCATCCATGCTAAACAGCAAGAGTCTCCTCTGTCGGGCTATTGTATTCTGACAGTGGCCACGGCTGTGAGAATACCCAAATAGTGTCTGAATATGACTGGGTATAAGCTCTGTTTGGCCAGTAATTCTCCATGCAGCTTTTTCATCAGAAATCAATTGAATAATTTACTTTTGTCAAGCTGGATGGTGCGGCCAGGGCCAACCGTAGCTCACATGTCAGCCAATTTAGCAGGAGTCAGATGAAATGCGAGCTAGCTTCAGATTAGCATAAAACAATGCTATATTCCTTCTGTAAAAAAACTAATCTCCCCACTCCCCATGAAATGAGAGGAAGATATGTTTGAAGTCCAGCATGGGTGACAACCATGGCCCCCTCCATAAATCTGGTGGAGTCAGTGGGGGTAGCCACCCAGGGACAAGACGTGTGTTATTCACAGGATAATCAGATGGAAATAATGGGGAAAAAGCTAAAAAAAACTGAATGCAGTCATCTTATCTAAGGACTGCTAAGTCGCAATGCAATATATTACATTTTTGGTTTTGAGTATATATACGCTTTATAAATGGGCAGAAGGTTTTGGAGGAGAAGACTTGTGACTTTCTATTCCAGTAAATAAAGCCCAGGGGCATGTTTATAAAGTGGTAAATGATCATTTGTATAAAATGCTACATGTATAGAACACAATCAGAATTCACTCAAACATTTTTGCCTGTTCTTTAGTAGGAAATCCTGGGCTAATTAGCATTTACTGTATTTAGAACGTGGTCAATTTAAAGGTGCCCATACACCTTGCGACTATCGTACGATAATCGCAAGGTGTATGGAAGACGTGCGACCGTTTCTACTGTACGGTCGCACGTCTTTTGTCTAACGAGCATGTACGATAGTCGGCGGGTTTGTGGCATGCTCGGGAGACAAATGCCGAACGGGCCGGTGTGCGCAAGCTCACACTGACCGTTCAGCATAGCAGTCATCGGAAACACCGGCACCTCAGCGGGGCGGGCTTTCGATGATCGCTAGTACGATCTGCCTGTCCAAGATGGGCAGATCGTACGTTTTTTTAATTACCTTACAACCATCGCAAGACAAAAGTCTTGCGATGGTTGTAAGGTGTATGGGCACCTTTAAGGTGCCCATACACTGCTCGATTCTCGTACGAGAACCGTGGGAAATCCATGGTCTTGCGATGGTTGTACAGTGTATGGCCACCTTTACACTTGCTGGCAATAATTGTTCACCGCTTACAGGTGAATTATTGATTTTATCAGTGATTTCCTATCAAGACCTGGTGTGCACCATTCACATTAGCTGCACTGTAAATTCAAAAAAAATTTTTTGTAAGGCTGCATTCATACTATTGTGTTGTGGTGCCCGTCTATTAATTTGGGCATTTAAAAACCAATCCACATGTACAGCAAGTCAAAACACATCTGAGTCATAGCACACCACAATGCACAGATGATGTGGTGCGCTGTGTTGGCTATAAAGAGTGCAGGTGCATTTTTCCTGTGTTGACAGTCCATTCAATTTGAATAGGCTGCCCCAAAGAAATTCAGATTAATACATGAAAACAGGTGCGTCAACATACACACATGCAGATGAGCCCTAACCCTGAACCATAGGTAGGAATTACCCTAACTTACCTAGAGATTTCCTCCTACTAAAGCTGGCCATACACCTATAGATTATCTGCAGATGTTCTATGGTCAGATGGAAAAAGTGCAAAAGATTCCTCCATCTACGCTAAACTGTGTGGATGGAGGAATCTCCCACTGGGCCAAGCTTCAGTTTCTTTTCATTCAGCCTGCAGGTTAAATGGAAAAAAAAGACACGTGTATACCCAACTTTATTTATATGCTTTTCATAGAGTAGTGAAGTTTGTATTGCTGTCAGAGTCCCAGGTGGAAAGATTAATCTCTGTATTTGTATTGGTGACCATTACCACCCAGAAAGAACATATTCTAATGGGGACACTTGTTCCAGGGACAACTGAATAAGAGGGGAACCCCCCTTAATTGAGAGATTTATGCTAATGTTCTGTTGCATTAAATGGTACACAGACAGCAAAAAAAACCTGCCAAGGGTTTAAACCCACTCAATCGAAAACTAAAAAAAAAAGTTTTGGCTATACATACATTTTAACCTTTCTTAACTCTATCCAAAATGTAAAAAAATGCCTATACACACATTTTAATCTGAGTGGTAGACTGCGACCAGATTTCAGTTCAGATTTTTTTAAGTACCCTACACGATCACTAGGAGTTTGCTTTCTGATGCCTGTGCTTTGTAACTTTATATCTGTCTCTGCTTCCTGTGTCATCAATTGCAATCAAATTTCCAAGGCAGGTATGAATATGATTGGTGTGTGCAGTTTATATATTTTGGGAACTCCTCTCCTGCATCAGAAACTGAGGTTCCCAGATCACTAGGTTACCAAGTAAAGGTATTAGGGTGAACTGTTAAACTACACCAATGTCTGGATGGAAAACTTTATATCATAGCAGACAAGCTTTGCTCCCTCTATCTAAAGGTTTAATGTTCAGTTTTGACCGCAATGCACATTAATTATTAAAAGCAGAAAAATATGTAATTTTGTGATCTTATCGCCTATATATAATTTGTCTCTAGCGCAGCCTGCAGTTTTGCCAGTACATATGAACAGCAGCTTGTCAAATATTTTCACTTGGTACAGCCTGGCTTCCTATCCACTGCCGCAGGCAACAGAGCCATGCTGATAAAAGCTGATTAGTGATTGCATGCTGCAAGAGACTACATATCTCTGCTGTTTGGACAATGCTATTAAATGAGCCCATATGTGTTGTTCTTAAAGGGTAAATAGATTTTAACTGAAGTGGTTAACAAAAGCTGATGTGAGATGCATGCAATGCTATGTTCATGGTCGATGGGGATTTTATGTTGCTTGATGGCTTCAAACGTTGGCAGAACTGCACAGTTGTTGTTTGTCATACCAAACTGATTAATAGAAAGTTGAAATTAAATGTGGACCAGATGGGTTTTGTATACTTTTTTTTTTTTTCTTTTATAAGAAATGTTTTAGAAAAATAAATATTACTTAATACGTTAATCGGACAGAAAGTTATATATATTTAAATTAGTATTAAAGGAGAACTATGAGTGAGTGCTTTTCGCTCATCCTCATAGTTCTAGCCGACCTGTGACAATGAAACTGTCACAGGTCGGCTCAGTAGATCGGGAAGTGAGTGAACACATACTCACTTCTCGATCTTGTCACGGCAGAGAGCCATGACAGGGGAGGGGCTGGATTCCCCCCTCCCCGCTCCAATTTTCCAGCGCTGACTGGCGGAATGGATGGGGGAGGGGGCAGGTACAGCTGGCTCTGCCTCTAGATTGGCAGAGCCAGCTGTCACACACGCAGCTGGGCGGATCCGGACATAATTGTTGGGATCCGTTTCAGCTGCGCCGCCTCAGTATACCGTGAGCTGTAGCTCGCGGTATACTGAGCTTAGGGTGATGGGAGGACGCTAGTTTGTGTCCGCCCTAACCCCATAGTTCTCCTTTAAACCCTCAAACCTTTTTTTAAATAATTAATCCAGATCAAACAAATATACATTGCCT